GATGGAATCACTTGAGAATTTGATCGTAAACGTTCGCAAACAATTTAGGAGAGCTTTACCTTAAAGGACAAAATATAAAATTGCGATATCGCAACATAATTAAATTCGTTGACATTGGACTTTTTCTCGATTTATGTTCAAAGTTTTATCGAGTTACAATCTCGACCTTTTTAAAGGTTTCACACATGAAGGATATTGGATGATCCAACCGAAGGTATTTTTATGACAAAAATATTTAGATAGGTTAATACCTAATTCGTCGTATCGGTTTATATTTTCTTTGACCTTGCCATTATCAAGTAATTCAATGCTTTAAAAATACCGAATAGGTACCCTATGTAATACCTAGAGCACAATTTTAAAATTCCAGTGACATCACACACAATTCGCATTTATAATATTAGTAGGATTCCAGTGACGTCACACACAAGTTAGTATGAGTGATATCACGCTCTGTTGATGGTGTCACGCTCAGTCATTATTCCATGCAAAAATAACTGTAAGAAACCCAAAAAAGTATTCTTTTTACATTTACGTGAATATATTAAGAAGTTTATTATTCTTAATTAGTACCTAATAATAATTTAATTAAGATACTACTGTAGCAAATAAAAAAGCCAGAGCTCTCCGTCGATGTATTTAAAAAAATATCTGGTGCTAGTGAAACACAAAAAGACTAAGAATTTAAATTCTTATCTTAGATCTAAAGAATAATTTAATTGAATAAGTAATAATGTTTTATAAAACGGTAATTGCTCTGAAACCGTTTAAATTGAAATAGAAAAGAAAAAAAGATCTTAAAATTTCTAAATTGCTAACTTGTTTCTCCTTAACTTTAATTACAGGTCCGAGAAAGAAAATAATAATAGGTATAAGTATTTGTTTAGATTGTGATACTACCTAACTACCTTTTGCCTTCGGCATAGTAGAACCTTTGGTGTGTCACATAATTCCGATCTTGAGTCTTATGATTAAAAGATGAAAAAAATGTAGTAAGTATGATATTATGAAAATTTTCCCTTAGGTATTTCATCTCTCTTCAAGTATTTTTTCCAAAAAGTCCATGCTATTAACAAAACCACAATATTTAAATTTTGTGGTGGATCTTTTAATCGACGATAAAAAGTAAAGTGCACTGCCCGGGAATCGAACCCGGGTCGCAAGAATGGGAATCTTGCATGATACCACTACACCAGCAGTGCTTGTTAATAATGCGCGAAAATAGAATACAAATTAAGTTACTACCTACTTGGTGCCTCATCGGTGCTATTTGAGGGTAGGTAAATTATTCTTGCTCGTGGTTTCTTGAAATTTGGTCTATCACAGAAAGACAATCGGGTGTGTCTTTTTAAAACCAGGATAAAAACTACTTATTCTATGATCAAATGGCTGCATAAAGAGAGTGGAGGAAGGCGATGAAACCTTACTGTGACAGATCGAAATTAACGCGGGCGAAGTCGCGGGAAAAGCTAGTAAATTAAAACAGCTAAAAAGACCCATCTATTGTAAGCTATGATAGCACAAATGCCAGAGTTGGAACTAGGCCGGTTTTGTCCCATTACTGCATTGTCAGAGCGATAATGCACTCCGATGCTGGTTCAGAATGAAACGATGGAAGTTTGAAAAGAAGGAAAAATTTAGTTTTTTTTTACATTGAAAAAGAGCGTGAGAAACGAATTCTGTTTGTATCGAAATTGGTGTCCAAAATAGACCTCCAGTTAGGTTTTCATTTGTTTTTTATTCCCAAACATTTTTGCCCATATTGGATCCGTGGCTTCCTGCCAAACACTGACGGTTTTCAGATAAGAATGGTTCGCAAAAACCGTATTACAATACTATTTTTATAACTACAAATACAAAAGTTCTACCTAAACTGTTCACCTTGTTAGTTGTTGACTTTGTTAACTAGGTAGCGTTGTAACTTTTAATGACATTAGTTAGGTGTTCCAAAACTGCACAAAATTGATGCCACTTGAAATTGGAGCTACATGTGAATATACAAAATTGTTGTAAAGTCGTAATTAAAACTACACTACAATTATACGACGCTACAGTGTTTAGCTGGGTGTGCTGTCGTCTGTAATAGGCTAAGTTTCTTAAAAAATCTTTTAGTCTGTCAATTATAATATCATTTCAATACAGGAATTTAATGTCTATTTCCATTTTATTTTGCAGTGTTGTCAAAGTACAGCTACTTGTTTATCAAACTATCCTACTAATATTATAAATGCGAAAGTTTGTGTGGATGTCTGGATGTTTGGTACTCTTTCACGCAAAAACTACTGAACGGATTTTGATGAAACTTTATAGTATTATTGTTTATAACCCAGAATAACATAAAGGCTATAATTTATGACATGACGATATATGACAAACTAATTTCACGCGGGTGAAGGCGCGGGCAAAATCTAGTTAAGTATAAATTAATTAATGGAAACTTTGGGTACCTATTCAGGACTATAAAGTTATAAAACACCAAACTTCTGAAAACTATTGTTTAATGGTGTTAATAACCACTCGTGACTTCACAATTCACAAATCTCATACCTCAAATTGTAGGTAGTACTTTAAGGCTGAGTTGCACCACCTAAATTTAACCGTAACTATAATCGGTGTTTTTTGTATAAAGATTCGACAGATTTTTGACGTTTGTTAAAGTTAAACTAAGATGGATCATTAGAATAAAACAAAATCTTCAAACAGTCGTTTTTCGAACAAATGTTTAATATTAATGATCTGTTTATAAAAATATACTGGAAATTCGTCTTCCGCTGAATATTGGAAATGGTTTCATATTACCTTATTGGTACTGAAGAGTCCCATTTACATAATTTTATTCTGAATCTTTGTTGTGATAAGTTGTTAAATTGTTTCTTTGTATAATAAAGGTACATTAATATTGTTTGAAACATTTGTTTAACGTCAGCATGATAATTTCTTTTTAAAAAACAAGTTTTTTAATCTCGCTGTCAATATTTCAATCTTATGAAGATGTTGAAAGAACAAAATTGAAAAATAATATTTTTTTAAAGTTGCTTTTTTACACTTTGCAAATTCACCCCTTGCTAATAAAAAGTTAGGTAGATGATATAATTACGGACAGCACTGGACGTGCTGGACAGCACCACACAACGTAGTAGAAAGGCGCTGGATGCAGGTCGCTACCAACCGGCCTTTGTGGAAATCAGTGGGGAGGCTTTTGTTCAGCAGTGGACGTCCTAAGGCTGAAATGATGATGATACTAAACGATAGTAAGTAACTAATAAATTCTCCATCAACTAAAGATAAACGTTATAATCAAAATTCTTCAAACTATCTACCTCTTACTTATAAGCTTAAACTTCTTCATAGAACGGAAAACGTCGTTCGCACGTTATGGTGAGCTTATTTTCATCGATTTGGTGGCAAACTCATAATAAATTAAGCTTGATAAGGTAATTTCATCTCTATAACCGTACAATAGGGTGGTATTTTCTTTATTCGTGATTGGTATCCCGGTGTATGTTTGGCTCCCTACTTATCCTACAGGAGCTCCCCTCTGACCTAGTTTCGGTTTTCGGGGACTTAGGTAATTGGAATACAAACAATCATACCGGAATATCACTTCATTTTATCAGGATTTGAGAGGTTTTTATAAAAGTCAAGTGCTGACTTAAACACTTTTTGAAAAAATTAAAATTTGAGGTGCGTGAAAATTTCGCTTATTTTTTCGACGTGTCTGGAATTTTTAAAAAAACAACAAGCGAAATGGCTGCCATTTTTTCGTTTTGCAAAGAAGAACGGTCACGCCCCATACAAAAAAAACCCAGACCCGACAGAAACGAGACATACCTCAGTTTTTTTGTCATGTCTTAATTAGTTAAATTATATATTTATTATATACGAAATATATGTATAACACCAAAATATTACCCTTTGTTTTTGTTCAGGCGTTATACAAAAACTAATACAAAATGCCTATTTATCACCAAAATTGGTAAATGTATGTACCTAAATGTCTATTACAGCTGCTATGGAATGTATCTAGGTGACCTGGAGATACAGCCGGATTATACAGGGTGGTTATACATGTGGAACGATAAGTGATCTCACTCGATTATTTCTAAACCAATTTTGGTGATAAATAGGCATTATGTTAGGGTTTTTGTATAACGCCTGAAAAAAAAACAAAGGGTAATATTTTGGTGTTATACATAGATTTCAAATATAAAAAATATATAATTTAACTAATTAAGACATGACAAAAAAACTGAGGTATGTCTCGTTTCTGTCGGGCCTGGGTCACAGATGACCGTTCTTCTTTTTTGACTTGTCTGGAAAATTTTCAGTAACATACTTATCGCTTGTTACTGAAAATTTTCCAGACACTACCAGCTGCCAGTTTATTTTGCCATGCTGCGCATAAACCTCTACAGAATAACATAAAGACTGTAGGTACTCGTAATTTAAAGATATTGAGTTAATTGGCCAAATTATAACCATAAGTCTCAAGTCCTCTTCCTTTCCTCTCAACCAAAATCTTAATCAATGAATGACAGTCCATAAAGTTCGTTAATCTCTTAAGTATCGGGATTTTCCTAAAGCTTTTCTTGTGTTGAGACAGAATAAACAGCTGTTATTGTCTAAGATAATATTATTATTGGGATTTTAAAACCTAAAGTTACCTACTTTGGGAAAAGCTATCTATCATGAACTTTAGCGGGATTATTAATCAGACGCAGGTTAGCGTACCATCCCTACATTGTCGACATTCCACCAGCTCGCACTAGGCGATTCGATAACTCTTTTATAATGCGAACAGCTAGGGACTGGAATTCGTTGCCTGCTGCTGTCTTTCCCGACAACTATAATCCGGGTCTTTTCAGGGTGAGAGTGAATAAGCACTTAGGGCAGATATGTACCTATGTACCATCCTAGACAGCATCTCACTTAACATCAGGCAGGTGAGATTACGGTCAAATATCTGCCTTGTTCTGCATAAAAAAAACCTTTTTACGAACCTTCAAAATCCTGTTCAGTGTAATCGTGATGGGTTTGTTTCCTCGCAGCTGGGTCAGTGGGAGCCTCTTCATCATCAGCCCTGGTCTCCATATTCCACGGCCTGCGAACAAGTAAACAGGTGAGTTTAATATTATTTCATAAACAAAAGAGGTCCACTGCTGGACAAAGGATTTTCACAACGACCACCCCTGCGTTGCTCGCAATTAGTTGCTAGGTATCGGCGCCCTTTACGAGATCGTCGTTCCACCTAGTGGGACTAGGCCTGCCTTTAGACAATAACTCGCGGCTCCGTTTTTTTGGGCTCTAGTGGAAACCATCGGGTTTTAGCGGGTAGGCCCCGCCTTTAGTGGGTAGGCAGGGAGAGTCCCACATATAACCCACTGGCCGTCCCCATCGACCAGACCTTCGACGTAAAAAAGGCCTGCCTACATGAGGTTTTTCACTCCATGATATGCCCCCAGAGGTAACTTACATTAATCCACAACTAAGCCTAGGCGCAGACCACCAACTTTTAGTTGGCCGATAGTTGGGCCCGATTCTAATTTGTATGAAGAATCGGCCAATACCAAATCGGTGAAATGTGCGCACTTTTATACATTTCCATACTGATCAACAGCCCGAACCAAAGAGGCTAACGCCCGTATTCACAAACATTACTATGAGGTCTCACAGTGCGCATGGACGCACAGGGTGACACACGAACAAATCACAGAGCTCTATTCAACGCTGTGTGTTCTATTTGCTGCTTCACTTAAGCAAGTATCGTTTGTGAATACGGGCGTAAATCCAAATGAATGTTAATACTTTGACTACAGTTTCTACCAGTTTCTATAGCAATAGATACTTAATAATCGCTATAAACTAATAGCCGACGCTAAACAGCCATCAGCGGAGTTTATCACATTACTAGGCGCGTCTAGTGTGCTAAGGTAATATTATTCTAATATCATCATAATGGAAACGCGAGCATCTGCCAATATCTTTTTAGGCAACATTTTCTGCCTAACTCATTATCTACTATTTAAGAGTAAGTAGAGGTATTTTTCTCAATTAAAAAGGTTTTTAATTTAGTAGTTCTCTACCATTTGTTGGAAGGTGCTTTATTTAAAAATACACCCTAGTCGGGCTAGTAAAGGATATGATATAGTTTTATATCGCGGCGTTACATTGAATTTTATTAACCGTAGGTATACTCATCGTGAAATTAAACCACCTCGCCAAAATGCAGTCAGAGGAAAGAGATACAAAGATCTCTTCCTATTCATGAAAGAAATGGCAAAACTTCCTCTTCCCATTATACCCAATTAGGGTTGTCAGGTCCAAAACCACAAAAGCCGGACTCTGTGTCATATTTAGAATTCATAGAATTCGTGTCATAGCTCACCTCGACTTTCGCCTAGCACGGCAGCCAAATAAAAAGCCTAACAAAAGCCGGAAAGCCAATATTTGGCCGGACAAGACCGTAAAAAGCCAAAAACACCTGGCAACCCTATATCCAATGCCAAATACAATAACTTGTTAGAAGTAGATAGATTGATTTCCAGGAGTTTCAGAGTGCTGTTAATATAACCACAGATTGATACATTAGTGCTGGGTAGTAGCTTCATTAGTTGATTAAACGACGTTTCCACGTGTATACCATTGATTGCAGTGGTATGGGATAATGCCTGCTTAATTGATCGCCATGGCCGGCCACTCCCGATTTAATTCTGATTAAGTAATCACAAAGCTATCTGTGTTGCCTATGGGAGACATAACTATCAGCTGATAGATAATCATGGGGTAAAAGGGGACTAGGAACATGTCTAAAGCGTGTTTATTTTTTGCTTATTAGTAAAGGCTGATTTACACGTATTAAGTAGTTAAGTAGGTGACGAAATTTTAACTTAATTTTAAGTGATTATTTGCATGTTACCTACTTAACTACTTAATACATGTAAGCCTTAAAGTAACTAACGAACTTTATGTGATTTTTATAGCGACTCCAGTGACACAAAGTAATATTTGATTTTAATTCATAAATTAAAATTACCATCACATGTAAGTACCTACTACCCCTGGACAAAGGAAAATAAAATGATAAATACTCGTAATTTTATTTCGAAAACGATTGGATTTAACTTCAGGACTTATTAATTTGGTAGTTAAGTAATAAGAATTTAAATAGAAATCGTTTGTCATATTCCAAAATAAGACTGTTTACTTTATAGCAGCATAAACTTCTTGTTTACAAAATCAACGAAGAATATTGGGAATATGTTTACTTTCTAAAATAATACTCATTAACGAGTTTTGTTTGTACTTTTTGAAGCCCGTCATAACGGGTTTAATATTAAAGCTGACATTTTTGCCTAATCCATAGCTGAGCAACTTTTAATCTTAACCATAATAATATTATCTATAAATAAATTTCGTCGAATTGGGCCTGAATTAATTAAGCCAGGACTTCGTCTGTAGACGATATCCAATAATTGACAATCTGTTAGATCGATGAAGCTGGACTAGTTCGCCTTTGGAGAATTTAACAATAACACTAATTGTTTTGATTGAAGTTAAATTTTAGTGATAAAGTTAACTAAGTTTTGGAGATAATGTTCAGACGAAAACAAAAATAGATTAGACCTAGAGATATTATTCTAGAATATGTACGTAAAGTGATAGTGATCAAAAACATTTGTTTTATAAGAGCGCTCTCTACCATTTGGTTTAATTTCAAAATCAACAAAGACAAACAAGTCCATTATTCAATACATACATACTTCAATGTAGATAGTTAATAAAGAAAACTGAAGTAAGTAACTCAAAAAGAAACGTGTGTTTCACGACAGTACCTACATTATAAGAAAAAAATTACACAGGTCAAACTTATTCTGTGCTTTAGCTTAGTTAAAAAGCTTTGTGAGCAGGCTCAAATTTTCTTTAGTCTCACACTTTTCGTGTTAAATGAGCTTTCATAAATATTAGCCTTGAAAGTTTTAAATACTAGCTTCCACATAATAATAAAATAAGTAGGTACTAGCAACGAACCAAAAGCCACGTAATCCGGGCTGAAACGCGTAAAATTGGGTTTATCAAGATTTAGTAGGTATAGTGTAAGTAATTAATTTATTAGTTTAATAACCTCGAGATCACGGATTATTGAACCTAGAATATAACTTTATTTATGTAATGAATATATACATTTTATTGTACAGTCAGGATCAAATAGTTCGTGACCCACGTCTTTATTACAATCAGACTATGGGTGTGTTCCCCACTTTTTGGCCACTTTGGTTGTCAAACTATTTGACGCTGACTGTACACCACACAAAAACAAGAAAAGAAAGAAATACTCAAAAGATACAGCATAATTCAGGCGGTCTTATCGCTATGAAGCGATCAAGAGAATGAGAAACATATTTGTTTATTCAATATCTTTAACCGACTTAAAAGAGGAGGAGATTCTCAATTCGGTTGGTATGTCTTTTGAGTAAGTTTATTATTTAATCTCGGAAATCGTTAGTTTATAACCCGTCTGAAACTGTAATGTGTTATTAATAATGTACTTAAGTTCAAATGAAACCCATCTCAAAGTTTAGCAGTATAGTTAGCGGTTTTTCAGAGAAACAACGCGGTATTTGAAGCAATGTGGTTTTATTTTAGTGTTTACTAAAGTTGAGAGAATTTAAAGATATTTTTAATAGTGAAACCACAATTTATATTTTGTGGTGAATCTAGTATACCTAATGAAGTAAGTGTGCGATAGGTATAATAATTTTGGAGCACTATTCCCACCTTTTGTTCCCATTGCTTTGCTTTAGCTTGGTCACAAGAAGAACAAACACGCAATCACCGAATATTTAGAAGTAGTGACACCCAAAGTGGCCAAGAAGTTGACCACACAGCATTTTTCAAATTATTGTAACAAAGACGTGTTGCCAACTTTTTGACTACTTTGGATGACACGAACTATTTGACGCTGACTGTACTTCTTTTTCTTTTATTTTGGCCACGACTTGGTTTTGAGAATCATGATTTCGCCATTGTCACGTAATCAGCTTTGACAAAGTTTACCTGACTGTACTTCCTCACCCACAAGCTTTCAGCTTGAGCAGTGTCATATCGTCAAAAGTTTTTACAAAATTTCACATTTTCACAAAAAAGGAACAGTCAGCCGTTTTAAAACAAACTCGAATCTCGAGGGCACCGAGGATAATTTTAATTATTGTACCTACAAAAGCTGCGTTGTCGCTCCCTTAACAACTGAGGTGCTAATTTGTTTTTATCCAGCTAAACGTGTCGGCAAATAAACAGAAGGCATTAACAACGTCTAGATAAAATCTACGTTTTGTTCGCGTTAACGTTGTAGCGAAATGTTTTAGCACCAAATAGGATCCTATTTTGTGGCTTTAGGCACGAAATATTACTAGTTACATAAGTAGGTACTGTGCGTCAAATGTAGGTATACCAACTAGTATTACCTATGTATTTAGTTATTTTTAAATACGCACATTATTCTGACTAATAGCTGGTCGCAGCATTGGCCCTGTGAATGTCATTCTGGCAATAATTAGGTATGTCGTATCACAAAAAAAAGCACACCTGCCACCCAAATCAGAATTCTAAAATGTAACTAAACTATATTCTGATTTGTTTCACCAAAAAAAAAAGCCTATAAAATTGACAAATGTGGCTGTGATTTGTGATAATTTCTGATACAAACCTTCATTCAACCCTTTTATTGTGCCCGCGGACATGAAATAGCAAAATGTTCTTTCCGAGGTTTATACAAAATTTTAAAACTGCATGTTTATTGGTAAACAGCGCCACCTATTATCGTTGTTTACCCAGTTCACGATTTTATCCGTATAAGTATTTTGTTTGGCCCACTTCCCTCACGTTGAAAGTCGACTATAAAGCTGAATGAACGTCGTAAAAAGTACATTAATTAGGACCCCTGTAGACCTATAAATTCAGGCATACTGAAGTAACTGGTCAATTTTGAACCCTATTACACTGCTATAAGATGCATCGCGTTGTATCTGTAACTAACTACGATGAGTTTCTAAAAGCAAGATATAATTTAGAGGGTCTAAATTTCGAGGTTTGGTAATTAGTTTTTTAGGCTGAAAGCTGAAAAGGGCGACTCAAAAAGGCAATTTCCTTTCCTAGAAAGGATGAGTAACCCAAAAATAATATACAATTATAAAAAACTCAACTGATTCTATCTCATACAGAAATTGTATAAAAAAATACCTTTGCTAAACCTTTAACTTTTTGTAAGAGTAAAGTCCAATATTATAGTTATGTAGATTTATAAACATGTACCTACTTAGGTATTAACTTGTCAAAAATATTTTTGTGGAACAAGCTACTGCAAAATGACGAGTTTACTAAAGTTCAAAGTGGTATGGTATGTATGTATACCTAACACCCTGTATATCTTAGTAGGTACCTATTGCCATTTTTTCTTTTATTTCCATATGACACACATATGACTCACCCTCACAGGCGTTATTGGCGTTAGCAAATAGATGATTAACTCAAAGGACGAGGAAGCATTTATCCACAAATGAGACGTGGGAGTTCCCTCAGGAAATTCCTGGTTATTTTTATGAACTAATCAACGGTTAATGCTAGCTGCTAATAAAGATAAACTGCAGGATATAACATAATAATTACTACTATTGTTGCGATAAATTAAGTCGTAATATACATTATTATCATGATCGTGAAGTCACGGAATCTAATAAAGGGTTATTATACCTACTACTTCTTTTTAGGTATTATCGTTTTCTGTTTGGGTGGCAGTGTATGTTATAAAATTATCACTTCACGGGATTTATTGCAACAATATCTATTTTAACGGTAAATAATATTTACCCTCCCGACGTTTCGGCTCGGTTGCACGAGTCATGGTCGCGGGCAGACTGAAGAGATGCGGCGTCGTCTGCTCCGGCGCGATGAGTTTTCTTCACCCACCCGCATTTGCACAATATTTTCGTCAGTGGTACAGTCAGTCCGACAAACTACACTAACAGTGTCCGGGTTTCCCTGAGACGGCCTAGAACGCGATTTGTACTTCGTTATCACCGGATTCCACGCTGATGATAGGTTAAATCCATCTTCTCGATTGAAATTCTTATGCTTTTTAATTTCAATGGCTTCACGTATCAACCTAACATGGTAATGCCTGTCAGTTGAGAGGATTTTCGGGTCATGAAGTTCCATCCAGTGATTAACGTCCGAAGTTAACAAATGTTCAGCTATCGCAGATTTGCACGTCTGTTGGTTCTTTACAGCCGCTATGTGTTCTTTGACTCTTTCAGCTATANCCGCATCTCTTCAGTCTGCCCGCGACCATGACTCGTGCAACCGAGCCGAAACGTCGGGAGGGTAAATATTATTTACCGTTAAAATAGATATTGTTGCAATAAATCCCGTGAAGTGATAATTTTATAGTAAAAAATGCAACATAATAGTTTAAAATAGTGTATGTTATGTAAATAAGATATTTTCTTCGTTTTCTAATATGTAAGCTGTAACAACTAAGCCGCCATGGGTGTTTGACATGACTGAATGGCACTCTGGAAGTCGTAAATAAATAAAGAAAGCCTGGAGCACAAAAACAAATGAATAACGCACTCCTCTATGCGAAGCGCGGTATCATATATCTTTGTTGTCTAGAACATACAATAAAATACACTGAGTGGTTTTACACCAAGTGCATCTCACATGGGAATCGAACTCGGAACTTCTACCCCCTTATTGATAAAAAGTTACACCTAGTATGAACCTCGGATTAAAACGACATTTCCATATTAAATGACCGTTTAATTAAGCCAGAGTTTAACTAGGGTGTAACTTTTATAAGGGGGCTAGCTAGAGTCGTGAGAGTCCAACTCTCTAGCGCCAGTGGACCATGTTTTCCGTTATTTCTGGAATTCCTAATCTACGAGTAAATCTAACAATTCCTTCACACTTTTCACTGAAAATGGGTTCCTTATCGCTTCAGGGATACCTACACAATCCAATCTTTCTTGGCCACTCTACTAACCTAACGAATGTAAGCCAGCTTCTGTAGCGTTGTTGATTAAAACTTGACTTGGTTTTAGAGACTTCTCTATAGATAAATATTCGATATAGGTCTTTGACTCAGGATTAGCAAATCTATATATATAAAAATGAAACCCGTTTTCCGTTGTCACGACATAACATGAAAACGGCTTGACCGATTTGGCTGATTTTTTTTTGTAGTTTCCTAATACTCTGTACAAGGTTTTTACGGAAAAAAATATAAAGAAAATCTCTACGCTAAGGCGGTACGAAGTTCGCCGGGTCAGCTAGTATTTTATAATAATTAAACGACACTACGCACATGTTATTATTTAAAAGTTTTTTTTTTCTGCAAATAGCTTTTAAAACGCGTTTTCACATTTTGATTTGATTATCTTAAACTTAAAAAACTAAAACTTACAGCACATCAGTCTTGCATCGCAAATACTCGTAAGGATAGTCCTTGAAGTAAACACTTTTGTACACCATTTCAGATATAAATCACTACACTTCAATTGGATTTTCAAACTGAAACATCTGTTTTCACGAGTACACAGGTGCAAAGAAAAATACACCTTACTACCTCGTAAGTCTTTGAGGTTTTGAAATATTTTCAATAATAAATTCTTCATTCGGTTTTATTTATAAAATGTATTTACACAACTTTATGTCAAGTCTTCAAAGCGATGGATTATTCCAGATGTGATTCGAAATCGTTTTTCTTTATCGAATGTTTCGATTGACGTGACATTTCGATTAGACTTAGGTAAACTTCTTTAATAGAAAATTACCAAATAGTAATTTAATCTTTTAAAGCTTTAACAGTCACTGCTATTAAGTTATTTATAGGTATTTTGATTACATTTTCCACCACTGAGACTTTAAAAGACGTTTCTCTAACGTTACAAGTGCGGTTCCAGCACAGTTCAACCGTAAACTCACTTGCGTTTGAGACGGTCGGTCGTTTTAAACAGCTTAACTTCGCCGTCTAGCAATAGGGCTAACGATATCGGTCGGCTCATTGAGTGGAAGATGGTAAATCTCTATCAACACTCGCCATCGCCTTCAGAGGGAAAGCGATTTAATTGCAATAGCAACTTTAAAGCAAAATAGAATGTGTGAATTGGAATTAAGCAATATAAATTGGGATAAAATAATGCAGGTAAAGTAAAGATTGCATACTTTGCTTTATGTACAGCGCAGGACCGTTCATTGTGGAAAACCTTGGGGGAGGTCTTTGTCCAGCAGTGGACGTCATTTGGCTGAAACGAACGAACGAACTTTGCTTTAAAACTTTATATTCAATTCGGCTCATTTTGTTACGTTCATCATGTTATAAATTTTTTGGACCTATTTTTAGATATTAGGTATGTTGATTACCTTCACAGACAGTACGTCATCGTCTATTTTCGTCCATTTTTAGTCCCACTCAATATTGCTGGAGTCCAATAAATTCAAATTACCTAAATGGTCTCAAGTTTCAAAATTATAATATCTTCAAATAAGTTAGCAAAATTGTGACTATAAACAGTCATAAGAAACTCCCAGGGGCAGTTCCAGCTTAGTTGCTCAGTTTAAAACTTAGGGACGTATACTTTACCCGGCCAAGAGATTCCCTAGACGTCTAAAGTTCAATTCTAACTTGGTTAAGACCCTTTCTCACAAACTTATTTGGTATTGTAAAGGGCGATCTCAGTTCTTATAGAGTTAGAGGTCTTATAGTATCTTAGTTTTACCGAAATAATTTGCTTTTTGAGGTAAATGTAATCCTTTATCCAAAAAGTATCTTGTGATAGCGATTATGAACTTTCGTAAAGTGTGATAGGTAAAATACTGTAATGTATTTAGGGAGGTAAAATGTAACAGAAATGAGAATAACCAAAACAGAACAATAAACCAATGCGCAGACCACCGATTTTTGTCGGCCGATAGTTTAGTCGGGCAGTTAATCAGATGGGCATGTATGGAAGTGCGCACATTACACCGATTGGGCCTTATCGGCCGATTCTTCATACAAATTAGAATCGGGCCCAACTATCGGCCAACTAAAAAGCGATGGTAGACCGCAGACCGTCAAAATTTATAACTAGAGAATGTTGTTTAAAAAAAATGTAAGAGATGTTGGTAATTTTAACTCCACAAAATAAAATTACTATAGTCACATAATAAGTTGTGCTATAGTTTCGTTAACCAGCTAGTTTACCATTCCAGCTACGTGCTTGTTGGGTCAACCACAATTCACAATCGTCGACGGTGTTCAACAAACTATAGATTTGAATCGACGGTCCGACACTAACACAAAAAGTATTGTTTTCCCATTATACAAACTACCTATGTACTTTGATCCTTCTTACGATTCCCACAATTAGCTAAAATGAATATTCATTAGGAATATGCGCGATAACTTAAGACATAGTTAATGAAAGCGGGCGTTGAACTCTTGGCGGTCAGGGAAAACGACTTAACTCTGATCGTGGTAGTTAGGATTTAGCACTTAAGTATGATTTGTGCTAAGTGCGTGTTCTTTCTCACTTAGCACTGCGTTAGAGCTAGTGATAAAGTACATCCAGGGCGTAAGGCTAGACGTAGGCGGACAGTAACGAAGAATAACTTCTAAAGGATATTTACCGGACGTAAATGGTACCTTTGTTTTAAGCATTGATTTTCTCAAACTGAATAGTATTTTAATTTGATTTCTATTTCTTTTTACCACACATAAAATGGTGACCTATTTGTGTGCTGGTTCAAGATATTATTTTTCAGAATAAACTGAACAGACCACGACACATCAAGATATTGTGCCATCTAATGTAGTTGTAATTAGTTCGGTTCAGCCAAATGACGTCAACTGCTGGACAAAAGCCTCCCCCAAGGCTTTCCATAACGACCGGTCATATGCTGCCCGCATCCAGGTTTTTCCCGCATAAGTTGTAATTAGTATGTCTTTGCAATTAATATATATCTCGAAGCTAATGAGTGTCTTGTTGATTGTGAATTTACACTAAAATAAATTTTGTAATAAAATCTTTTTATCGTAAGATGTCTCAGCGTTACCTTTACGCATCGTCATTCGAAATATTTTTTTAAGCAGAACAAGGCAGGTATATGACCGCAATCGAACCTGATGTTAAGAGAGATCCCATCTAGGATGGTACATAACTGCCCTGTAAGTGCTTATTCAATTCGAAGCGCTCGAAATTCTACGACCTACCAGCACACAGCTGGAAGCTTCCTAGCGTTCAATACTAGGTAACCCATATCGGACAATAGAAACGCCGGACGTTCCATACCACGCTGCGTGTACGTGTCACCGTGATGAAGCGCCGTCATTTGGCGCCACGTTTATAATGAGCATCTGCCGTAAAACGAAACGTTCTTATTGGAACTAGAGTTTGAAGGCTCTTTTGTAGAGCGTGGTGAAGTGTAGATGAAAATAGATATTGGAAAACGAGGCTTGTTTATTTTATGAAATACCTTTTCATGAAATACCTTAACAACCTCATAATCGGAGTTTCTGCACAAGGGGTAAGTAATGAAGTGGAGATAAAAATAGATAGGGAAGGCTTGTTTGTAATTTATTAGATGAAATACCTAAATAACTTAGCTAGTTTCTACAAAACCACGTGTTGCTGGATGTTCCACCAGCTATCCTCTTATGATTATGAATTTATTTATTTTTTTTACTTTTTTTATTTTTTTTGTTAACACTCTCTTTATGAAGTCCTAGTACACTTTGTTGTCCTAGAAAGCTGTTTCCATTCTTCTTAATTATTTTACTATCAGGCCCAGAACCTTACTAAACAATAATATCACTCAGGTACCCGTAACAGGCATATCCATCGGTTTCCTACATCATTTCTTTGTTGATTGTATGAAGCCAATAATATTTACTCACAACTACATTACCTAGTCCTTTATGTATTACTTTATCAGAAATATTACGTCTGAATGTTGTTTACTCAGCGGTATCCTGGATGAAAGCCATGTGTCTGCCCCAACACTCGCTTTCACAGAAAATGGAACTTACCCCAATATACTTAATGGTCAGAATGGCAAGTCAAGCAATACCGACAAAAACCAGGGTGAACTCGAACTATTTTATGATAGCACGAAGTTACCAACTGTTACGGACTTGCCTGAATTAATCTGAAAAGTTTTGCCTTTTACGTTTAATAAAATGGTAAAAATCCCAATCGTTACCAGTTTAAGCATGTTCGGATAAAAAATATAACTCAATAAATATTTGTGTACGTGCACAAATCTACCTAATCTTAAGTCATATTGAAGATAGAGAGGATAGAGTATTTGACGTTACGACCTGGTCCAGGGTTCGATTCCTGTTACCTAGGGCACCAATTATATTGTGTTAGGAAATTGGCTTAAATCGACGGCTATCGAAAAGATCATGATCATGATTAAGGGTACTTCAAAAGTTCAAGCGGTGTAAACTACTCAGAGCTATTTCAGACGCTTATATAATTATCATATAGTCATTATTAAATTTCATAACTTATGAATAATGCGAAAAAGTTGCAAGTCCTCAATGTAGGTAACTATATTAATTTGATTACGATTTGAGTTGGTAGAAATAGTAATTAGTATGTAAAAGAGTAAAAACAACTGTGAATTCATGCATTCCCATCGCTTAATTAGAAATCATTGTTTTAACTGAATGCATTAGAATTGTGTTGAATGCGAAATGAGCTACGATTAGGTTACAAGGGAAAAGGATGATGGGCATATTGGGCGTTAAACCAACAGAAACAAAAAGTATACTAAATTAAAGCTTAATACTAGTACTTCATTTCATAGTACGGCAACAATCCTGAAATACGCGGGGATACGGAGATAGAGGTCGTTGAATATGCAAAGTTTCCATAGTATTTCACATCACATTAGGGTAATAAAAATAGTATTAGGTCAATTAGATTGCTTTTATCGATCATATTGAGAGTATTGTATCATATCTTACTATCGATTCTATCGATTTAGTAAGTATGTATACCGAATAAATCATAATCGATTATTCGATTGCAATAATCGATTATATTGCTGAAAATAAGGAATTGAATTAACAATCAAATGATAGTAATGATGGTTATCAATAAAATCGATTAATCGAATTGTCAATCGATACATCGATATTTGGCAATATCGATCCGTGATCGATTATGCGACAACACTACAACTTAACTGGTAGAAATCCCCTTGAAACATGACTGTGTTCATGTCCTTTCTTTAAATGGTACCTAGGTATAGTCCTACGCTTATAATGTAGAACATGGTTTAAATATACCATTTGTTGGCCCCACTCCTGAACTGTTGGACATAATAATGGATAAATAACTTAAAGTATTTAAAATGTAAGTAGATAAGTATATTAATTAATAATATTTTTTGTTTACGCAATAAAGCACCTATCACTATTACACATTATGTCAATTTCCAAGCAAACCCGGGAGTTTTTGGTAGTTATTTATATGAAAATATATTTCTGATATTAAGTCCTAACAAATAATAGTAGTTACATTTCTGTTGGTTTTACGCCCAGATTCCATAGAAAAGTGCCCATCATCCAAATGTGTGACATCCAAGAAAATTAATACTTAATGCGATTCATAAGTACTGAATTCGTGTGAGTTGGTACACGAAGCGTAGTTACTACGGAAAGTGTAATTTTTGTACGTTTTGATGCCATGCTTCGTTTATGTTAAAAGTCGACGCCAACATCAAGGTTGTTGCAAATAACTTGATAAATAACTTTAGTTTCGATCGCTATTGTTTATCACCGAAATTCCATGCGAAGTAACTTCGTAGAGTTAGTTACATTTAGTAAGAAATGAACGTACCATTTTTTGCTCAAGAGAGATGCGTGCGC